CCAGGGTGCGAAACAGACAGACAGATTTGATAAACTCATGATTTTGTATCCTTAATCACAATAGCTGTAGTTTCTAGGGAATGGATTAGCGTAGGGTGCAGTTTATAGACCCGGTCCAAGGGACTGAAAGCACGTAGTCGCAGCTGCGGGCGCAGTGCACTACACTTGCTGTAGGCGGTGGAATGTGACGGACCCAAACGTCTACGCTTCGGAAGGACCAATGTTGTTTCGAGCCAAAAGACGTCTTCATTGGCGGCGGCGCCAAGCGCGAAGCAAAGCCGGGCAGCCTGGAAGGTGGTTAGCTGGCTTCCATGTGGCTTGATCTTCAAGGGTCCCGCGCGACTTCACGAGGTACTGGGCTGCACCTCCCGAGCCGCGTTCGTCCATAATATAGTCGACTTCGTATTCCTCTGTGGGACTGCCTGCTGCATTTCGGATGGGAGGCCAGGCAGCGTCGGATGCCGAGGGAACCAAAGCGGGAGGGCGGGGGCGGTGGGGAACTAGCTGCGAAACGTGGAAAACGTTGTGGCATTCATAAGTGGGAGGCAGAGCGAGACGGTAAGCGACAGTTCCTATGCGTTCGATGAATTCGAAGGGTCCGCGGTAACGGGACTCGAACTTAGGGTAGCTGTTGAAAGGCGGTAGGTGGTTGCTGGTGAGCCAGACCTTGTCTCCCACCGCATACTCCACTGCTCGGCGCTTCGTGTCTGCGTAGTACTTCTGCTGCCATTTGGCCTTCAGAATGTGACTCTGTGCTCTGTCGCAGAGTTGCCGGAAAAGCTTAGTCATCGGAGGAGTCAGCGTAGGAGCTAACGCGCCTACGATATCAAGGTCCGCAGCAGTCAACGGGTTCTCGCCAATCATGACCTCGAAGGGAGAGAGCTCAGTGGATGAATGACTTGTGGTGTTGTAGGCAAGTTCCAAGGCCGGAAGCAAACGCTCCTACTCACGTTCGTCAGTTTTGATATAGGTACGAAGCATCTGCTCCAGTGTGCGGTTCACCTGTTCAGTTTGGCCGTCGCTTTGGGGATGGTAGGGCGAGAACATGCACCGTTTGATGTTAAAGCGACGGCAGAGCTGGTTCCAAAGATCCGACTGGAAACGGGGGACGCGGTCCGATATGAGCACCTCTGGAAAACCATGATAGCGCATAAGGCGGTCTGCGAGAAGCTCCACGGTGTCTGCTGCTGTGAATGACTTCTTTGCAGGAACGAAATGAGCCATCTTGCTAAGGGAGTCGACCATGAAAAGGATCGAGTCGTGCCCTGTCGTTGTAAGGGGAAGATCTGTGATGAAATCGAGGCTCACGTGCGTCCATTGACGAGAAGAGATGAGCAACTGTTGAAGAAGGCCTGCAGGCTTCTGGTTAATGGACTTTGATACGCGACAGTGGGTACATGACTCAATATAAGCAGTAGTGTAGGCACGCGTTCCTGGCCAGTAGTAGTGCTTGCTGAGAGCCGCAAAGGTCTTTTTCTGGCCTCGATGGCCGGCTATGACATGGTCGTGATGCGAATGCAGAGCGTGAGTAAGGAACTCACGGAATTGTGGGACGCAGATGCGCCACAGTCCATGAACGCGGGTGTGCAGGTAAGGCTCTACGTAGCGAAAGGTAGATTGGCGATGACAAAACTCGATTTGCAGAGCTTTTCCTGGTCGGTTTGCTGCGGCCTTGTAGGGAACGCGAAAAACAGGACACTTCGAGTACGCTTGCGGCCAATGGCGCACATCAGGAGGGTCAGCGGGTGCCTTCGTTGTGAGTGTAGAAGGTTCCGGCTCGGGGTTGGGTTCCGGCGGCGCAGGGGAAGGCGCAGACGGCGTGCTGCGTCGTCGAGGGCGTCGCGGACGAATTCCAGCGAGCTCTCGGTAGTTGGGAGGCGGACCACGAGAGCGGGGATTCGCGCTCGCTTGTCCTGTTGCGAGCATCAGCGGTACCGATGGTGTGTCGTGCGAGCAGGTGGTAGGGAGGCCGGGACGGCGAGACAAGGCGTCGGCAACTTGGTTGCGCGCTCCCTGAACATACGTGATGTGCAAATCCGGGAACTCCGCAAGGAAGTCTAGCCACCGGGCGG